ATACAGACACACACACACTATAGCGCTGACGTCACCTACCGAAGGCCAACGAGAGGCAGATTGGCCGCAGGTAAACGATGTATAACATAAAGCAATATGCCTTATTATATATGAGGTACCATGTTGAGGGGGGGGGGGGGGGGGGTACGGAGTACTGGTACCATCGATACCATGCTCGCGTTCGACGTTTAATAGAGGATGTGTGTATTAATCCGCTGTAGTGTATTGTTTAAGGCCCATACGCAGATTTGCGGTTTTGCGCGGTGCGTTCCGTCGGCAAGCGAACGCGTAGCGTTGCAAAGAGCGCTTGGGCCAAGCTTGCACACACTGTTGCACCGACACGCAGTCAACCGCAGTCAAGAGCCAATAAGAACGCTCTGTTGTCACTAGCGCAGTAAGGGAAATCCAGGGCAACATGGCGGGGCGTCCGGTGACAGCGTCGGGACGATCCCGCTGGCTGCCCCGGCAATCTGTCAGGCTTGAACCATCGCAGCCTTTGAAGACTTGCTCCCAGATTTCCCGCTGCTCCCTAAAACAAGGTTCCGCAAGCGGAGAACTGGATGCGCATCGTCGAGTGGCGCGAGCGAACACGTGACCCTCCCTTCCTTTCTCGGCTTCTAATTGGTCTACCTACTGCCGCATCCAAAGTTGAGCCAGAGTCCCTCGCGGCGCTCTGCGAGGCGTTGCACGACGTTGAGCGTCGTACCGGAAGCAACCGCTTCTGGCCGCAGAGACGCCGCTCCGCACTCAAGCACGTATGTGTGTATGGGCAGTGGTAGCAGTGGCGTACCAACTTGTTTTTGGGTGAAGGAGGCAAACCGGACCACCGCCCCCCCCCCCCCCCCCCCCCCCTCCCCAGGCCCGGGGGGCGGTGCTCTTGGTATCCCTTGGGCGCCGCCGGCCGCTGTTTGTCCTGCCCAGCGGCGGCTGTTTCAGGGTGAAGGGGGAGGGGGTGCAAAATACATGCGTGCTCCCCCCCCCCCCCCACACACACACACACACTCACTTTGAGAAGCTGGGTGGGCAAGCGCCCCCCTTGCCACCCCCGCCCCCTCCCCCCCCCTCCCCGGTTGGTACGCCCATGTGTATGGGCCTAGTGTCAGAGGCCAGATTGACCGTTTGTACGTTTAGAAAGCGTGCCAACGAATGAGGTGACTTGTTTCTCAGTGCAGCACGACTGCTAATCTGGGTTCTTTAACATGCATCACGCAGTTCTGGTGGCGGAATTACCATGTTATGGTTGTGACTTCGACAACATTTTAGTGCACACTAGGTAGCTGGCGTACAAAGATGGAATGTCAGGCATATATCTTTTTACCCCCTACCTACGCGAGCGGTACTGCGAAAAAAATTTCAAGGTTTATTGTATGGATATTTTGACGCAGGAATATATGTGTTTGTTGATATGCTATTTATGTCTCGTCTGTAGAGGATGCTTTTCCAGTGCATGTGATCACGTATGTCACAAAATTCGTGTCAAATATTGCACACGTTTTTTTTTTGTTTTTTTTTCTTGTTTCTGAAGAACATTTTCAACACAGTGGCTCGGTTTTCACAAAGCGTTGTATTCTTTTTAACTCTTCTTTTAGAATCTTTTATAGCGTGACACGCCAGGCAGAGCTGGGAAAAGAGACATCTCTTTCTTTACAGTGTGTGCAGACTAATCTGTACAAAGTCGTAAATCTCTTCGAGTGTAAACTTTGAAGATCTCTTCAAGAATTGTGCAATGAGTACTTTTCTTTTTTTCGTGCGGTACATATTTGCGTGGCGTGTTGCTTGGTGAACAATGGAGATGGATGTTTTTACACCTTTAGATGAGTTTTCCTTTTTTTTTTTTTTTTTCTAGCACATATAATAAATATTACGGAATGAATTTTCTTCGCAAGCGACTCTTCACTGTTTGAAGCACCCGTGAAAGATAGGTAAGGTTTGAACTTGCAATGGAACAACAACTTACATCTTTGGCAGACATTGAGATTACAGTGAAAAGCAAAGGTGATAAGCACATTTGACCACATCCAGCTCGTGTGGCAGTGTGAACGTTGCAAGAGAGCGGGCTTCGTGAGGACTTCTACTGCAGACATAGTCTGACCGACAAGCCCCCCAAAATGTCGTATTTTGTTTCAGGATACCCGGCCTTTCATTGCGATTTGCCCACAAAGATAACGCATTCGCGCTTTGTACATACTGTTCGCAGTGGTGCTCCAACCAGTGGTGGCCACGATTGCTCCGAGTTCATCGGGCAGTCTGGCTACAGACTATGCACTCTGACCAAGCAACCCACTCCGCATACAACCACCGCCACCACCATCTAGAATAATGAAAGCGTATCCAGACGCCCCACTCTATGGAACGTTATCAGAATCAGACGGCACCAACTTGGCAATTGGACCCTAGCCCGAAGCCGAGCGTTCTTCGACGCTCTGATTGGACGCGAGACCTAGCCGATTACTGACGTAGCACTCGTATCCAATCTCTTGTCATCGCTGGATCTCACTGGGATGACGTCATAAATTTTAGTGCACAGGCTTTGATTATTCTAGGTGGTATCAATACAACTGGCAGTGTTTTTTGTTTTTTTTACACTTCAGCAGTAGATTTGCATTGCTTTCTGTTTCAGTCTTCCGGTTCCTAATGTGAGACTTCAAGGGAATCCAAAGGTAGACATGGACATTACGTAACACGTGGCACATTATGAAGGAAAAAAAAAAAAAAAAGCGAAGCTCCTGAGACATTTGTTGGTGCGTCTGATTACCTTCAAACTTGTCTTGGCCTAGCAGCGCTACGCTCCGTTTCTTCTTTCGATGGACAGCAACGGACCCTACGAGCCATCCCAGCCAATCGAACACTGAACGTGTCACGTGACCCCACGCTTCGCTGTGCTCCTCCCGAAGGTCACGTGACGTTCGCGTAACATTGGATTGGTCTAGATGGGTCGTAGCGTCCTCCGCGGTCCGTCGCAAGAAAGTGCTATAGTACACGAGGTTCCTGGTAAGCCCCTTTCTGAGTCCTAAACAAGCGGCTAAACATTGCAACGACCCCAACGACGCGACCAAACACTTTCCCGCTAGCGGATGAGTTCCTTATAAATACGTTTCAGCGCTTAAGGCTAAGTCACTGTTGTCCCTTACACACACGCGCAGTCGTACACGTGTTGTGGATTATACTTCGCCGATATTTTCGGTCCCGCGTGAAGTCAACACAGCACCGAAGCTTGATCGCACGGAGCTCCGAAGTAGTCCAGCTACGGCTCGGCGTTCAGTGTGCAATTCGAGATGGACGTGAGTGTGGTGCAGGAGGACTTTTTGGCCATGGTGCTCGCGCCCTTGGGCTTTGCGCAGCAGGAGAGACGGCTGCGCATCTGGCTGAGCAGCTTGCGCTTGAAGATGAAGATGAAGAAAAGGTAGAGGCCGTGCAGGGAGTTGAGCATGCCCGCCAGGCCGTAGAGCTTGTGGTAGCCCGTGATCCAGGGGATGAACTCGAAGACCCAGATGATGCCCATGACCAGGGAGAGCTTGACGTACAGGTAAAACCTGCAAAGACGACGGACAGGATTGAGCTTCCTGGAAGGACATGCAACCACTGGCGCAAATGAAGCCACCGGAACTTCGGTGCTCGTCCCGGAAGTCGGGCGTCAGCTGGGCTTCATTTAGTCGATGTTTTAGTCCACGCTTTGTTGCGTTTTTAAGAGTTTTAATAATCCCCTTTAGCATTAAATCCCTAGAATGGTTCATTTGAACGCGAGACATGCACGCTTGATCTACAAGAATCTCGAAGTTTTCCCCCATTAACTGGCTTCCCAGAAGACTTCTCGGGTCTGCATGTGCTGTTATTGCACAACGAAAAGCTCTCTTAAAAAAAGAAATCCAGCCTCTTCTACACTGTTCGTACCAACGCTCGGGAACAGTTGGAAAGCCAGTGAAACGCTCACTTCCGGGACAGGCCGCTTATTTCCGGTCGCTTCATACCCGTTTGCTCAATGTGCCATCCAGCCCCCTAGTGGAGACCATGTGGCAACCATTGATCCGCCGGCTCGACTTCGTCTTATCGCTTGTATTCTTGCTTCATTGGCATCGGAAAAGAAGGGAGGCATTAGTGCCCTACCCCTGTTTTAGAATAGGACCAGCCCCTCGCCACGATTGGTGGTTTCCTCCTCTCCAACGTCCCCTCTGTTGAAGTGGCAAGGGTTGAGAGCTTTGTGGAGGAGCTTGAAACCTTAAAAGGTACTGCGACAACTACTGCGAAGGAATTTCAAAAGGTGCACGGTGAAAGGTTTCGACTATCTCTTCGGCGTCAATGTTCTTTTCTTTTTTTTTTTCGTGGAACGTTCTAATTTTTGTAACCCATGTTTTGCGCAGCTTGTAGATTTTTTTTTTTTTTTCGAGGTCAAGCGAGGCTTTTGTTTTATGGGTTGGAACAACGTGTCTCGTTGCGCCTTCGTTAATGGCTGCGCTTTTAAAAGACATGGTGGGCATACGGAGCTGGCAGGGTGGCATTAGCATAGACAAGGAAAAGCTTGTCGCGTGCGCGCTTGTGGGTGAAGAATGTGGATTGTTTACCATAGAGCATAACTTGCCTCGAGGAAAGTCTCAGTTGAGTTGGCAGGCACCAAATGGTTCGTGTCTTTCCTTAACGGTGGCCCCTCAGAGTACAGTCATATTGATTTTGTCGTACCGCTCGCAAACCCGCGTGCTGAGACGGAGGACGGACCTGTCAGTTTCCTTCGAACACACGGAAACTAAACCGAGCAACTGTAGATGGCGCGAGTCCCGCTGCGCCCTCTGAAGAGGAGATACGCTATCTTGTCTATGGATCTCTGCCAAGTAATTACAGCGTCTAGGAACTCTTGAAGCTATGTCTCTTGCCTTCTGGTCGCGTTTATACGTTGACCTGTGACGGAGGAGCACGCTTTGGGATCTTTCCCTACTTTCGAAGGGTGGTGAGCTGAGCTAGTTGGTAAGCATTACGCATGGTTAAAGTTAGCGAGCAACGTGAGGAAACTGTAGAAGAATACAGGAGACAGGATAAACGCTGAACTTATAATTCGATATTTCATCCAGAAGAGAAGAAAGAAGATGACATATAACCAACAGGCACTTGCTCATGGCACGAGAACTCTGGGGGCGGTGGCTTTAGCGCATTGAAGCGTTGAAAAACAAGACTTCCTTTTTAGATAGAGTAACAGAAGGATGGCTCACGCAGTGCTCCCCTAGACCTTGTATAATATACGTTATTAATATATTATATAAGGAAAAACTTTCGAGGGAAAGTTACGAGGCGTATATTATACAAGGTGGGGGGGGGGGGGGGGGGAGCACTGTGTGAGCCGTGCTTCTGTTACTTTATCTGAAAAGGAAGTTCTGTTTTTAAACGCTTCGATGCTCTAAAGCCATTGCCCCACGCCCTAGAGTTCTCATGCCATGAGCACGTGCCTGTTGGTTATATGTCATCTTCTTTCTTCTTCTCTTCTGGATGAAATATTGAGTTGAGAGTTCAGCGTCTATCCTGTCTCCTGTACTCTTCTACAGTTTCCTCACGTTGCTCGCTGACTTTAACGATGTGTTCGCTACCTTCGTTTTCCGCTTGAGATCGCGCTCAAATGATTGGCGAGTGTGCTTGATTAACGATACGTCAAGTAGTCCAGAACTAGAGACAACTTTCCTTTCTGTTTTGCTCAGACTCGTCCGTTCGAATGGGCCAGTCGGTTACGACTTGTCAAGTTGTATGAAATGCAAATATCTTTTTTTGTTGTTCTTTTCTTTTGTGAAAGCGCTAGATGATTCCGTATTTGTTTATATTTGTCCCAGTATATACATCTCAACTTCTCTCTGGTGCGAGAAATCAAGCTCAAGCGCCTAAAGTCGCCCTCACAATTGCCAGGGAGCAACCTGGCCGAGACTCACATCTGCTTCTGCTGCTCGGCCTGGAGCGTGACCTTCTGGAGGGTCTTGGCCCTGTAGAGTGCCCAGGCGGTCATGCCGAAGATGACGACGTTGCAGAGCAGGATGATGCCCACGGGCAGATTGAAGTAGAGCGCGTACGCGAGGTATCCGCTGAGCCAGCACTTCTTTTCGCCGAACCGGGGCCGGTACTCGTGCGGCACCAGGTCCGTGAACTGGAAGAGGAGCGCTGGCGCGGACACCACCACTGTGGCCGTCCAGGCGTACGCGGCGTACTGCCAGTAATGGTCCTGGCGGATGCGCGGGTTGGCCAGTGGCCGCAGCGTCACGATGGCCTGCCACACGTCGAAGGCCATCACGTTCGTCCAGAAGAACACCGCGAGGAAGCTGGTGTGCTGGACGACGGCCAGCGCCTGGCACAGCCGCTGCGGGATGCGCGACCGCAGGGTGAAGTCGACGATGAAGCCCACGTAGAGGACCATGAAGCAGCTGGACAGCGACAGGAGGTTCTTGCCGTGCGTGTTGCGCAGTTCGGGCAGAACGCAGTAGGCGGCGCAGATGAGCACCAGGAACATGAGGGACAGGGCCATAGCGATGACGATGTACGGATAGTAGTCGCGGACGCCCACGTCCGCGTCGAAGGCGGCGGAGCCGCGGCTGTTGTTGGCGTAGCGAGACACGCCGCTGGACTCGCCGCTCGAGTTGCCCAGCAGACTGAGCCAGGTACTGTTGCGCTGGAGCAGCTGGAGGACGGGGTTGCGGGACAGGTAGGCGTTGAGCGGCGAGCTCTGGTTGGGCAGCGTGGCCGGGTCCTGGTTGGCCTCGCGCAGGAGCCGTGCTGCGTCTGCCGACACATTCTGGAAACGTCGCTGCACCCAGTTAAGGTAGATGCTGTCCAGGAACATAGTGATGGCCATGCGCGCCGGTCTTGGCTCGGCCGGCCCACGGCGCGGGGGGCATCAAGCCCCGGCCGCCGTCACGGGTGCGGCGCCTACAGGCAAACAGAAAACACAAAGGCTTTGTTTTTGCACTTTTCACCTAAGGGCCTCGTTGTTCCGTGTACCAACATTGTAGAGGAGAGTAACGCGTGTCAAAGCGCGATGAAGGGCAGGTAAACCTGCCATTTCCAGAAATTGCGGAGAAGAACATGCGAGCCGGTGGAATTCCAACATTGTGAAAACCCGTGACCGAGGAATAACTTACTGCAAAGGTTGTTTACCTCTCCTGTGAGTTGTTGCCGCGTTGTTGTGTTTATTCAAACATCGCGCTAACACGATATATGCCAAAACAGCACGATGACGCATCATATTTCCGAATGCGTGGCCCAGCACGACACGGTGTCTTTAACCTCAGTCCATTCATCACATCAAACATTCATATTTACCTCTGGTATCACACTGAGTTTCGATGATTCCACAGGTCACGCGGTATATGCGCACAGTTCACTCGGGTGTCTCATCTGATTTAGTCGCTTAGCTGTTCAATCCGTATGTCGTGCGCCCAACTATGAACGATTGTCATCAGCCGGTTCTTACCCGCTAGCCAGAGGCGCGTTCCTACCTCGATGGCAAGGAGATGGCAACGTTGTTGTTTTTCGTGGGGACTCGGGAGGCACTCGCCCCCTCCCCCCTTGCCGCGGGGGCCGCCGATCTGACTCGCCACGAACTGCGATGCACAGTTCAAGGCCGAATTCCGCGAAGCAGTTTTTTTCGGGCACAGATGATTGAGATTGAGAGAGAGAGATAATAAACATTTTTTGTTTACACCAAGTCCTGCGAAAGTTATCGTGCCGCTGTGGGCCTCGCAGCCCCTTGCGCATCTTTCGCTCCTTGTCGTGGATCAACGAGTCCTTTGTCTCCCTGCGCGGTTGGCTCGTGGCGTGACACCTCGTTCGGGCAACTTGCCGTGTCCTCCCGAGGCGACCCAAGTTGTTGACTGTTTGTGTTTATGCATGCACAAGGAACTACGCCTCTTGGAGGACGCTGTGGCGTGGCGCAACAATCCAGGAGCCGCACACGAGAGCCCCGCGAGCTCTGCTATTGCTGGCCCGTAGGCTGTCCTCGTTGAATCGGAAGGCGGCTTGCCAAGTTGACCGCTCGGCGGTCGAACAGAAAGGGTATACGCGATCGGGTTTTATCCGGCGGCGGATTAGAAATCTCTCGCATAATCTGCGACGACGCGGTTGCACGTTCGAGTCGGAGTGCATAACACGCTCATTGTCTGAGAATACTGGACCAGAAATCGGAGCGTGCAGAAGAAAGAGGAACCGTTGCGAACGTTTGGCGGGCTCGGGACTATTCGGGACAACTTTCTGCGGCATTTCAGAAGCGAAGACTGTGCATGCGCAGCTTTGATCACCGCTCCATGCGTGTGAGCGCACGGGTACTCGTAGCTTAGGCTCCATTGCCAGAAGAAGTTGTCACCAAGTGTAATGTTACTCGTGAACATGAGAGAGAGAGAGAGAGTCTCTCTCTCTAACCCCAAAGATTTTTGCTTTTTGTTAGAAGAAACAATTCGCTTGATTACTTAACCTTGGAATGTATGATCAAAGCAAGCTTCCTAAATATTCCCTCCACATTTCTTCTTTATTTTTCTCGAGTTAAACTTTTTTTTTTTTTTTTATCTAGTGGACAGGAAAGGTGTCGGTAGCGGAATATTTCCAGCTGACCGCATTCTCTGGGCGTAGTTGTCTTACGCAAGAGAAGCCGTTAGTGAGAGCGAGAAACAAAAGGCGCAGTCGAAAGTCTTTTCGAAGAGGCTTCCTCCATGGCGCACGCAGGATATATTACCGACGAAGCGGTTTTGCGCATCCCCACGGCCGGCGCGTATACGGTGCGGTGCAGTCTAAGTAATTCCCAACTAGTCTCAAGGCCCGGCCACTTAAGAGCTATACGTGTCGCCCAGAACGAGGAATTAACGCCACTCGCACCGTTGCACAACCGGCCGGGTCCTTATCGTGCAGCCTTGCCTCAGCCGAGGGACTTCTTGCACCTGGCGAAAATCACGTGACTCTGAAACACTTTTTTTTTTCAATTTTTCTTGTATTGTTTTCTGGGTTTAGCGCACCTTGGAGAAACCTCTGAATTCGACCGGGGTGCCATATACATTGCGGAGCGTCTCTTTCCGGTACCCGGCCTCCGGCTTGACGGGGGTTTGCCTTCCGTCGCGCTTCATCTGCGCGTGTAGGCTCGAGGCGAGCGAGACGCCGAAGCGTCATCGAAGGTGGGAAGCACGCGCTAGAGGAGAAACAACTGAATGACCTCCCTGCTGTTCTAGCGGCCCTTTGCGGCATTACTTTGCTCTAGGTGAAGAATCGTACGAGCTTCAGCCAATGCCCGAAACGTGGATCGAATGAGGGATCGTCGGAGGTTATCATGTGGTCGCTACTGGTCTTTCCAGGCTCACTGTGCTGCCGAAGTAACCCCATAAACCATATTAAGGGATAAACGGAAAAAGGCCTCGAAACGTTAGTTAGAAAGGCCTGCCGCGAATATGACTATGAGCCAGCCGTGTTTGTCCAAGGGGTGAGAAGGACCTTTTGGAACGCGGAGGCGACAAAAATCGGCGCGCTCACGGGCGCCTGGATTTTGTGCGATGCCAGGGCGCAGTGCCAGCTCTGTAACGTGACACCGGGGTCACAGTCCACGAACCGAGCGACCGTTTTCGAAGCTTAGGGTAACTCCCGAAGGTTGAACCTGAGATGGAGCAGAGCTCACGCCCGACTGGTGCGCCGTTGAAAAAGTTCGCCTCGTCCGGGATTCGATCCCTGGACCTCGCCAAGGATGACCGCTCTGCCAAATGAGCGCCCTACCAGTTGAGCTAACCAGGAGCTATGTGGACGGTTGCCACCCGTCCTGATCGTAACCACCGCAAGGGTGATTATATGTGACGGATGAATGGATGTTAATGAATGTACCCTTTGTAACGAGCGGTAGCTTGCGCCACCTAGTCTACGTCTAAAAAGACAACCATGTGATGCCTGCCGCCCTTTCAAGCCAAACCCCCCCCCCCCCCCCTCACTATCATCAGGCGGTGTGGGATATCAAGTTTTCAAGTTTCAAGTGTCTTTATATTCCTTTTTTAACAAGAAGAGGAATAAAGACACTTGAAACTTGAAAACTTCGATCCCTTGAAGGTCATCACCAGGATGACCTTCAAGGGATCGAACAAAAAAACTAAAAAAACATCCCCCCCCCCCCCCCCCCCCTCTCTTCCACCACCAGCTCTTCACCCCGGCGAGGGAGTCGCAAATTTTCCTCTGGTTAAACCTTGTCGGCGTTATCCCAGCATCGGTCCCACTGGAGTTTTAGGGGAATTCCCCGAGGCGGGAAAGATACACGCAAGAATAAATTGACCCCGTCGCCAGCGATTGTAAAACCGAGCCACATAGTTTCTCGTCCCGTAAGGCAAACAGCACCTGCGATTATGTCGGATTCCCCTCAAAACAAAGTTCGAAACTGAAGTCCTCCGTGTTGCGGGAGCTCGACCCCTTTTGCATCGAGATTATTCGACGCCGTAAAGCGGCTAAAGCGGCCGAGGTCCGAAAACACGATTGGCTGCTTTTCGGGAGAGTTCTTTTTAAAGTTCTTTTGCAAAATCTTCGTATACCAGCTTTGGCCGCCTCCGCGTTTTACTTCTAAATGAGTTTTTTTTTTTTTTTTTTTTTTTTTTTTTTATCGGCGTGCCGAACAAATTTGACGATTCAAAAGGAAGTGTCACGATTTGCTGGTACGTTGGTAGTCTCTTGTTCGCTCTCGACTATGTTGACATCGGTTCGGTAACTGCATATGTGCACTCACCGACCCGCACAATGTGATTAAAAAAAAAAAAAAAAAAAAAAAAAAGATATCCAGCCAAGGAGTTGAGCTGTAAATGTCCTTAGCCGATGCAACGCCTCCGAAGACGCCGTCATGTCCGCACCACCCGCTGTCCGCGGTCTTGGACGAACGCATCACCAACTTGACGACGCGCGCTTCGACACGAACCCAAACACCGCTCACCTGCGAAAGAAGAGGAATCCCCGATGGTGCGCGATAGTCCGGTCTGATCGACAAAGCCAGGGCCATCCACTACCCGCGCGTATCCGTCACTCGTCCGGCCGAACACCTCACTCCATACCGGCGGCGAGCGTGTTAGCTGCGGGCACCAAGAACGTAGATAACGCGTCGACTTGTTCGTCGCTCGCGAGAGTGGCGTCGCTGCGCCGGACGGACGACGCACTGGCCGGTCGAGGTGGCGCTCCCGGCGGCGGCGGCGGAAAGACTTGGCGGAAGAGGCGACGATGTGCCCTTGGTGGTGGTCCCTGCGCTCAGTTCACCCCTGAGCTGAGAGTGCGGTAAGAGCTACGCGTTCGCCGGACCAACGCACCACCGCTCTTTCATCACCTGACCCAGCTCTCTCTGGGCCTGGGTATTAGGGGCGGTGCAGGCACGAGCAGAACACCGCACATCGTAAGCGCTGATATCGGTAATCTCGAGAAAAAAAAAATGAAAGGGTTGGAGAAGAAAGAAGGCGATAAGTTGGGCGTGTTCGTTTTTCCGCTACGTTCGAGTGCTCGTCAAGATTATTTGTTTTTATACAATGTGCGGCGCCGGTGTTTTCAAGAAGCCTTTTAACCCTTAGCCTGTCACTGACCATAGACTGCTCGCACGTTTTCCTGCTTCTTTGTGTTTATCAAAGCGTCGCCAGCTATATGGCTACATCTGGACCAGCATGGGACCACCGATCGAACCTTTTTCCTCTAGAGGTGGGTATATGTAGCGGAAGCTTGATCACGTGGGGAGAGAGCGAGCTAAGACTGGTCCAACGAGCATGTATAGCTTCCACCGCAATGTCAGCTTGAGCGTGAACGGAGGATGGGTCCACCTTTTTGTGCTGTCTGTGTTGGCCGTCTAGGATGTGCCGCGCTCGCTCGGGTCAGGAGAGGGGGTGTAGTCGCGTTGCCGTCGTTGTCGTCGTCGTCCAAGGACGGGGGACAGTCCACGAGGAAGGAAGGCAGGCAGCGCCCCAAGGGTTCGCTGCTCGGACGACAAGTGCCGCGCGTACGTGTGCGTCGGTGGTCTGCCCTTCTTGGCGTGGGGATAGAATTTGTCTACGTTGCTTTTCTCATTTATTTTTGAATCGCGATCGTGTCGGAAAGCCGTCGAGGTAACGGCCTGGAACGGTTTGCGTGGACGAGTTCGCGAAAGGGTCTAAACGATTTCGTGTGACTTTTTGTTTTGTTTTGGCACGCGGGTGCGTTTTGGTATGTAATTACTTCGGCATATATTTTTCGTGCGTGCCTACTTTTTGCGCATCCTTGAGTGTGCAAAGGATCGACTTTGGTGTGTTCTTGGGACGGCCGTCCGACGTTTTTTTGTCGAGATCGGTTTCCTTCTGCGATCGCACCGAAGTGAGAGACCGTACACGTAACGCGTGGCGACTCTTATTAGACTGGTAGATGTGTGCATTCTTTTTATAGTGGAGACAGCGGCACATATTGACGTTGTTGCCGTCTTACGCAAACGGGTCGTATCGCTTGCCTAATTCGGGGCGTATTGCTTTCCACGTCGATATACGCAACGTCGCCTGTTTCCTTCTCTGGAGTTGGAAACCGTTGGCAACGCGAGCTCGCCTAAACGAATCGTTCGACTACTCAAGAATAAGCTCCGAGGTTTTCCACTCAAACCTCGGGGATGAAATTGTCCCGACTCTCGATCGATATACACCAATCGTCGTAATCAAGATGGTACTGTTGGCAATGCCCGGGTCCTTTGCTTTCCGATGCTTTCGCGCGTATATTCTATCTTCTCTCACTGCTCCGTCTCTTATTGCAGCAGCGAGAGTGCATGGTGCCTTCGTCTAATCGGAATCCCAGCTACTTTGCGTACAGTAATTTTCTCCTCTCTCTCTCTTTCTCTCTTTGTCTGACAGCGCTGTGGCGTTAATTCCCGTGATACCTTAATCTGCGTGTTCTCAGTCGCAGTTCGCTGGCAACCTGTTTTACGAACTGCACATGCACCGCCTCTGAGCAGTCTCGTGTGAGTGAACTTCAAAAAGTAACTAGTTAAAGAGATACTGAACCGAAATTTGGATTTTGCAAAATAGGGCCTCAGAAGCGTTGAACGGGACGCTACGAACACCATGACTTCACTCGTACATCGATATCTCAAACGAATGGCCATATTTTTGGAAAAGAAGGGCGCAATCAAGCGAGGACCTTGACGCCACGATCCTCCTGGAGCAGTTGAGAATGAGGGGAAGCGGTATTGCTTCTCTCCTCCTCGCTTCGGTTTACCAGCTCGATGGGACGAAGCGAGGAGGAGAGGGAAAGAGAATCGTGACGTGAGATGTCTCGTCGGCCTCGTCGCGGCCGTGTTTGGTCGCGAATATCTTTTCCAAAAGTTCCATTAGAAATATCGGTGTATGAGTGGTATTTTTTGGGTTCTGCAGCGTCCCGTCTATCGCTCCAGCCCTGTTTTGTGAGCTCGAAATTTCGGTTCAGTATCCCTTTAAACTTACTTTCAGATAGAAGTATAACGAAGTTACAGTTACAGCAACGAAAAAGTAGTTCGTTACAGTTACTTTTAAAAAAGTATCTCACTTTTCAGTAAGACTACATACAAAAAAAAGTGGAAAACGCCCCCCCCCCCCCTCCCTTTTCCTCAAGTTTATTACAGAAAGTGTAAGCTGGCACAAGGTGAGAACAACATGACCCTCAAAACGTTGGAACACATCATTTGAGCAGTGCAAGGAATGGCTAGATTGTACTTGTTCAATGATATCTTGAACTGAAGACACTGTGAAGTAACGACACGTCTAACGTCGTTACTTCAGAAGCGAACTACACTTACAAGTTACGTTTTGAAAAGGTATCGCTTACTTTTAAAGTTCCCCAAAAAGTAACGAAGTTACAGTAACGCGCCAGCGTTAACCCAAGACTGCTTCTGGGCAGCTAGCAATGTGACGGCGCCGTAGCTTGGCGCCCGTTGCATCCGCGCGCCTTGAGTCTGACTAGCGGCTCTTAGCGTAATCGTTGTTCCGTCAACGCGTTGCCGCGTGCAACGAGCCCCCACCTGTGATAAGCGAGGCTTTGTTTGCCCCTCTTACCGAGAGAGACGCACTCGACCGATGAGCGCGCGTAACCTCGGCGATTCCCGAACGCCTTTCCGCATGGGCACCCGTTGTATTTGTGTAATGTGTGTGTTTGTTTCTTTCCTTTTTATCCCTGGGCGTGAGTTAACACTTAAGTCGCAGCCTTGTGTCAGTAATACGTTTCCTTCTTTCATCTTGAAAGATAAGCTCTTGTCACGCATATTTGAGGGTCAGAAGGAACGAACGCATTGCTTTTGAAGCTTTTTTTTTTTGGGGGGGGGGGGGGGGGGGAGGAATATAAGGTACCGTCATATTTTGGTTTCGTTAATAAATTTGTGATATACTGTTTGAAACAAAAAGCGGTAAATGTCTGAACCTTTGCTATCTCCTTTTTTTCTTTTCGTTTTCAGACGACGTACATTTCCTGAAAAAAAAAAAAAATACTAGTTCAAAAAAAATGTATGAATTAAAATTTTTTGACTCGATCCTATGCAAGGAAATTCAAGGTTGGGTGTCCAAAGATGGCGTCAGACCGTGGCAACATTCTGTACACAACTTCAAGTGGCGGCGCGGTTTTCTGTGCCGCTTTCATAAAGGATCGACTTGGCCAGCCGCCGTGACTCCGTCTAGTTTATATCAAATGAAGAATTTCCGGTTCAGCGATGACCGTCTGATCGTCACGAAGGAGGGGAACTATATCAGTTTCTAACACATTTTTACTTGTAGACTCTGGCCATCTTATATCGACGTCTTGCAAGTACGATCACTGAGCGCCACCATCTTGCCGTGGTATGTGTGTAGATGATAGTCGAGCTTCCAGAGGCGGACTTGGCATTTTGCCGCCCAAAACAACGCCCCCCCCCCCCCCCCCCCAACACCCCGCGGGGGTTTGGGGGGGGGGGGGGGGGGTAGCTATGTTTGGAGTTATAATTTTTCAAAGTAGCTAAATGTGGAGCTAGAATTCCCAAAATAACTGAATTCAAAGCTCGATATAAAAAAAAAAAAAAAATTATTTTGGTGGTGGCCACAAATTGGCCGCCCCCAAGATTGTGCCGCCCTAGGCAGCTGCCTACTCTGTCTATTGTTGCCATGCTCCCGGCAAAGCTTTCTATTCCACGCACAGCGGTTAGAGTGTAGCTTTGGAAGCGTTGCGGTTGCAAACGGTAGCAAACGGTTGCAAATCGCCTTCTGCGCGCTGCTATCATTGTCTGTCTGCTGGGCTGTGGAACGCCTCCTGAGCATGCTTTGTTGCTCTGCTGTGCGGTACATCGGACGCTGCGCATGTCTCCACAGCTCAGTGACTCAGCATTTTTCACCCGGGTGATAAGCGATACAAAAGCCTATAGGGTGATTTCAGATAAGATCGACCAAAGGGTGGCTGGTCGACATTTTTAAATCAACTGATGTTTTTATATGACATTGTCTAGTGTCTGGTATAAACGAATCCACACTTAGTTTTGACCAGAAAAAAAATTTGGAGACAAGAAAAATCGTAAGGCAGGGAGAGGTGGACAGTTGCAATAACGCGCACTGATGGAGGGGGCAAGTTTGAAAGTGAATAATTAAAACAATAAAATTAGGAGAATTTTAAAACTTTTTACAAAGAAACTCTGGGTACAACTTGCTTGTGATATAAAGTAATAATATTTATTAAAAATTTATTTAGTTTTCTAAAAATTGCCAAACATGCCTGCTCGAACGACAAATGGCAAACTTTGGAAATCTGTATCTCATGAAATAATTTAATCATTATTACATAACTTGCAGACATTATTTTACTAATATATGGCTATTATTGAAAAAATAAATAAGGTATCTGAGTGACACAATAGTTACAATATATTTAGGCAAACATGGGAAAAAAATCAAACAAAGAAAAATTCCAATGCGAATAAAAAAAAAACACCACCTTCGGATTTTTTTTAAATTTGGGTACCCTGTTATACTCTATTTCGGCATTCATTTCTATTAAAAACATGTTGCATCATTGCACTGTGAAAGAAGAAACAACTCCCCAAAGTAGGGTCCTTTTTCAAAGCCTACACTTAGCAGTGTCCTATACAAGAAGTGACTCTGAGTTCCAGTTTCATGAAACTTGCACAAATCTTTTATATACAT